TGTCTTCTCCCTGTTAGTGCCTCCAAAGTTTATTAAGAAGATAAAGAATGTCTCCACTGTTGTGGGAGATGCTGCAGTGTTTCGTTGCTCTGTGGAAGGGCCCTTGCCACTCTCTGTGCTATGGAAAAAAGATGAAAACTGGATCCAAGATGATCCGAAGATCAAGCAAATTTTCCAGAACAAAGAGGCCACTCTCAGGATTCTTGCTTGTGCGGCTATTCACAGAGGGAAATATACCTGCCATGTTGTAAACGAGGCTGGGCAAGATGTGTGTTCAGCAACACTGACTGTGCAAGGTACCTTTACTTCAAGCAGTTTATCTAACATTAGGCTGATTTCCAACTACACCAAGAAGTACATTTACTTCTTCTTTTTTTTTGGCATCTTAGAACCACCAACGATTGAAGAGAAACCGGAGGTTGTTAAAGTGACTTGTGGAGATCCAGTTAGCTTTGAATGCAGGGTAGCTGGAACTCCTCATATAAGTGTAAAATGGATCAAAGATGGGAACGAGCTCCAGTCGAGCAGAAAGCATAATCTCTGCTATGGGGGCAACCTCAGTAGACTTAACATAATGTCCTCTCAGCTGGAAGACGGTGGAGAGTACATGTTTGAAGCCCAAAACGCAGTTGGGACTTGCAGATGTAAAGTGAAGCTGGTTGTTTTGGGTTGGTAGACTCTTTGACTCTTGGTTTACAGCTTTACATGTGTATTTTTATCACAGTACAAATAGAAGACACGAATATTTGAAGTTTTCTCTGACATTAATTATCTTCTGCTATCATTTTAAACAGAAGAGTTGATTCCTCCCACATTCATTAAGAAATTAACAAACATTCAAGGAATTATGGGTTCAGTGGTGACCATGGAGTGCAGAATAACCGGTTCGCTTCCTCTGACAGTTGAATGGAGCAAAGGGAAACAAAAGATTACAGAGAGCTCCAAGTACAAACTTGTACACACTGAAAATAGAGTCTTGCTGGAGTTAAAACTTACTGGGAGTGTTGACACAGGAGAGTACTCCTGCAAAGTTACCAACAAAGCAGGCAGCTGTGTGTGCAGTGGAGTCCTCACAGCTAAAGGTTAGCATTCAGTTTATGGATTTATCAGCTCACGGGCTCTTAGTCACACATCATCATCATTCTTCTCTGTTGGTTTTAGTGCCGCCAAGATTCATAGATGAGCTTGAGTCTCAGGCTGTTATTCCCAAGTCTGACGTATTCTTCAAAAGTGTCTTTGAAGGGACGTCTCCGTTTATGGTGAAATGGTTCAAGGATGACATCGAACTCATCACTGGGCCATTGTGCAGAGTTAGACTGGAGAAATATTCCTCCTCTGTAGAGCTCTGCTCAGTGGGTACTCTGCAGTCTGGGATTTATTCCTGCCAAGTTAGCAACGAAGCAGGCACGGCGAAAAGTGCGGCACAGTTACTGGTGAAAGGTTGGACTATTCTTTTTTTGTCCGCCATCATCACCGTGCATTTAACTCCATCTTTTTTCTCCATTTTTCACAGCTCTTCCCTGTCTTCATGTGTCTTTTCTTTGCTTTATTGCCTTCCAGAAATATCTGTGTTATTTTCAGAGTCCCCTGCCACAGCAGCCAGTCATGTGTCTGCATCCTCCATCCGTCCCATTACTGCTCAAGTGCTACTTTATGCTGAGGATAGTAACTTGATATTTTTCTTACTTTGCAGAACCACCTCAGTTTGTCCTGAAACTGCCTCCCACTACGACTGTGAAACAGTACGAGGGACACTGCTTTGAATGCAAGGTCACCAGTGTACAGTCCCTGAGAATATGCTGGTACAAAAATGACCAACAGATAACTGATGGAGCGAACTATAAAACAATGTGTGTTGACTCAACTGCATACCTCCAGATCTCCAATGCAACATTTGACGATAACGGAGTTTACACTTGTGAGGCTCATAATGATGCTGGCAGTGCAAGCTGCAGCAGCATTCTCACAGTTCAAGGTCAGCTTTTGAGTAGAGACTTGGCTTGTGGATTTTGCTTCCTCTAAACATATGTTGCATGAAGAAAAGGATAATTCGCTGTGTTGGAAGCTTGAATTCGCTGTTTCTTTCTGGAATTGGGTCTTTTTTCTTCAAAATCAAATTTGTCTTCCAGTATGTTGGGGAACACGATTTAACCTACTCTCCTATCATGAATATTAGGACTTTGTCTCTCCTGATGAGCTTTTCTTTTTCTGTTTAACTCTCCACAATATTTCTATTGGTTGAAACTGTCCGGATGAACTGCTTGCTTCGTGTCAAGTCTTCATGAATGCTTCATCTGTTAATATATCTCATTGTATTTTCTAGAGTCCCCCTCCTTTGTTAAAACTCCAAGCCCTGTGGAGGCCATAAAAGGCAAAGATGCTAGTCTGCATTGTGAGATGTCTGGCACCCCACCTTTCCAGGTTAACTGGTACAAAGACAACAGGCCACTAAAGGAGGATAGAAAATGCAAGATGGTCAATGTGGGCAGCTTTGCTACACTTCATATTATAAAGCTGGAGCAAGATGACGCCGGGCTTTATGAGTGCAGGGTGTCAAACAATGTAGGAAGTAAATCGTGCCACACTGCCCTTACTCTGAAAGGTTAGTGTAATATTAGTGGTCATTTCCTCAAAGCTTGGCCACGTGTGATCACCTCTCCTCATCTGTGATCTTTCCATCACTGTTCAGAACCACCAGTGTTTGTGGAGAAACTGGTCGATCGGTCAGTGAGACTCGGTCAGCAGCTGACGCTGACAGCTACCGTGCACGGCTCGGAGCCACTGACTGTGTCTTGGGTTCAGGACAAGGATCATATTCTCAGAGAAAATGACAACAGGAGGATCACCTTTGAAAACAATGTGGTTGCTCTTGTAGTGCCCCAGGCTGACCCAACCACAGCTGGTAAATACACCTGCCAGCTGAGGAACGACTGTGGAGCGGTAGAGTCGGTCTCCCAAGTGACGGTTCTAGGTTTGTAGAACTCCAAAGTTAATTGCATTACCATTGCAATTAATTACCAGGATTTCTTTAGCCTAACGCGTTCTTACATAATCTTTAGAACCTGCTGCTATCGTGGAAAGCCCGGAGCTGTTGAATGTGAAGTCAGGAGAAACTGTGTCACTTGAGGTAACAGTATCTGGCTCACCAGAACTGAAAACTACATGGTTCAAGGGCAACAAAGAGCTCTCTGCTAATGCAAAGTATCATCTGAGCTTCAAAAAGCAGCTTGCCACCCTGAAGATTCTGTCTGCTGACAAAGCAGATGCCGGAGAATACACACTGCAGGTTGCAAACCACATTGGAACATCCTCTTGCAAAATTAAGCTCACAGTCTCAGGTTTGTGTTTTTTGTGTTCGCTGTCCATTTGTGAGCATGTCTTCTTCTTGTCTTCTTCTTTTTAATGAGCAATCAGCTCTCCATGTTATTGTTTCTTTACAATAGATAAGTTGATTCCACCGAGTTTCATAAAGAAGCTGAGAGATACCCACCTTGTTGTGGGTAAGCCTGGTGAGCTGGAGTGTAAGATTACCGGTTCTGCTCCTTTAACAACTTCCTGGTTCCATAATGGCCAAGAGATAAACAGTGGGCCGAACTATGACATTAGCAGCGTGGATAATGTGCGCACACTGAGCATTCCAGTGATTAAGACATCAGACTCTGGCAAATACACATGTAAAGCTGTGAACGCTGCAGGAGCCAGTGAGACAAGTGCTTCAATGAATGTGACAGGTCAGTAATCCAGAGAATATTTTAAACATGGTTTCCTCAGCCAGGATCAGAGGTTTGGTTACAACAAATCTTTTTTTATTTGAATCTTTTTATTGGAAACCAGAACCTCCATCTTTTTCTGAAACGCCTGAGGCTCGAGAAACATTGCCTGGCCAAAGTGTGTCTTTCTTGGCTAAAGTGAAAGGCAGCATTCCCATAAAGGTCAAATGGTTCAGGGGAGCCAAGGAAATGCAGCACGGGAGAGGCTGCGAGATCTCCCTGAAGGATGACGTCGCCACACTGGTGCTTCATAAAGTTGAAAAGTCTCATGCAGGAGAGTACACCTGCCAGATCATTAATGATGCAGGAAAGGACAGCTGCTCAGTTTTTCTGTTTGTGAAAGGTTTGTTAGCATTATATATGCCCGTCTTACAATTCATGTACTGATTTTTATTTAACTGACGGTGGACTTACCCCTCTCAGAGCCAGTCCACTTTGTGAAGAGGCTGAGGGACATTTCCATTGAAAAGAACAAGCCTCTGAGGCTCGAGGTCGCATATGCTGGAACCCCAACTGTAAATGTAACCTGGAAAAAGGATGGTAAACTCATCCAAGCCTCTTATCTGCACAACATGATCACCACAGACACCTCTTGCATCCTGGAGGTTCTGAACTCTGAAAGGATGGAGGCAGCTGGTAGATACTATTGTGAGGTAGACAATGGAGCTGGAAGTGACAAATGTGAAGCACAAGTTACAATCCTAGGTAAAATGATTGGTTGTGCATGTGAATGTGGATCACTCTGTTTTTCTTATGGTGACTTATGACCATGCATTCATTAATTTGGTCATTTTTTAAACACATTTTTCATTTATATGTTTACACATCTGTACTTAAACTAAACCACCCTGATCTCTCACTTTAGAAGCACCATGCTTTGTTGACAAGCTGGAGCCAGTGGAGGTAACGATGGGTGATGCGGTGACCTTAGAGTGCAGGATTGCAGGAACTCCTGTGATCTCTGTCACCTGGTTTAAAGATGATGGAAAGCTGCGCAAGTCCAACAGTTGCTCAATGGACTTTGCAGATGGCATTGCCACTTTGAAACTGTTCAAATCTACCAAGTCTGATCACGGTGAATATATCTGCAAGGCCGAGAACCGGGTTGGTTCAGCCTCCACCAGCTGTAGCGTGGCTGTGAAAGGTGATGCTCACGTTCACTACTTCATTTTTCTACATTAATGAAGAATGAATGAAACCTGGTGTGACTGTGAATATTTTAAAGACATTTTTCGAGCTGTTTTGTTGAGTTACAAGGATTCTTAAAAGTCAACAACGAGCTTTAATCCAGGTTCATATTTAGAGGTTTCCCACCTTTCAGACAAGTACTGCAAAAGAGCAGCCGCTGTTGTTTAGGAACACAGTATTTAGTCATCGAGGTCTAAAAACGGATCTTAGTTTATCTCCAATATTTCATAACCTCCATCACCTATTATTATTAGATGGCAGCGTAACAGGGAAGCGTGAAGCCAACCAAACCATTGTTTCTCAGAACCAGCCTGCCCGGCATAATGTTGAGACCGAAGATATACTTGAAACACTCAGAGGACAATTCCCATGTTTATGTAACAGTAAGTGAATAATTCATAGATGCCAGTCATGTCAGAAAAGGTGGTGCACGAACCAACACGTTTCCTTTGTCTGATTCCCAGATATCGTTCTAATCACTGATGCTGTTGAATGTAGCTGTTTCCTGTGGTCTGCGCACCAAATGCGCCTACATTTCCCGAGGTTCAGATTGCAGCACAGAGATTGGCCCTTTGCTGTGGCTTCACCTAAACTGTGGAACATTAGACACTTTCAAAACCCACCTGAAAACCCTCTTATTCTCTTTTAAATCAGAATAAGTTCTGATTACTTTTGTGCTCTTTCTTACTCAGATCTTCTCGATTTATATTTACTTTCTTAGATTCTGTTGTCTTTCGTCCTCTTTTTATGCCATTTGACTTTTCTTTTAGATGTTCAGCACTTTGGTGACCAGCTGTTGTTTTAAAAGTGCTATGGAAATAAATTTGACTTCCTGTGATCTTGTGCTTGCCAGGAATAACCAGGATGATATTTTAGGGTGTGTTTTCAGTGGCTGGCTCTGCGTTTTGTAGGTCTTGAAATAAGGATTTACTAAGCTTTGAGAGATGCTTGAAACCAGTTCTCCGGCTGAGAACGCTGTAATGTCAGATAATGGTCTTTTTCATAGACAGGAGATTTTTGGTCAGAATCTCTGATGTTTAGTATTTCTTTGCTTTTGTGTTGTTTGTATGTTGTCTTGTGTGCTGTGCCAGACTCTTTTTCCTGAAGCTGTGGTAAAGGCCCGGTGGCCTGAACTCTTAAATTGGAATCTCAAACTTCCAATGCCACTGCACGGCATGATTTTCTTTCTTATTTTCTTCCCCACTAACAGAGCGCAAAGTTCCTCCAAACTTCACCAGGAAGCCTTCTGAGTCCATGGTGGATTCAGTGGGTAAGACCGTAAAGATCGAGGGCCGAGTGTCCGGCTCGCAACCTCTGACCGTCTCCTGGTACAAGGACAACAGTGAGATCCGCGCCTCGGACAAATATGATATCAGCTTCAAAAACAACATGGCCGTGCTGTGTGTCAGAGACTCCACGGGCTCTGACGGTGGTGTTTACACCTGTGAGGCCTCCAATGAAGCTGGCAAAGATTCCTGTAAGGTTTCTCTCACAGTAACAGGTAGGACTCTGTCATTTAGGATTTGATCCTTTTCATCCATGCAGCTAAAGCTGATGTGACTCTACAGGATGTTCTTATGGCACTAAAGATTAAAACCTGACACTTTCCTTGTATTAAAGTAATGTTTGGGTAATATTTTACTATATTTGGGTAAAATTATGACTGTTTTCAGGATAAAATACAGTGACTTGTTTTGCTAGCATCCATCCAGATTTTGGATGAGCTTCAGTTTAACAGTTCACTGTTTGAAAGGTGAGTATTTGTAGTCATCCTGTCGGTTTTTCCACCACTTCTCTAGAAACTGGCCAGGCTCCCAAATTTGATGTTCCTCTGGAACCAGTGACTGTGGGTGAAGGGGAGAAGCTGAGCCTCCAATGCCACGTCACCGGCTCTACTCCAATAACCATCCAGTGGATGAAGGACAGGAGAGAGCTCGTGTCCAGCGGAAACACCAAAATCTCATTTGTTGGTGGAACGGCCAATCTGGAGATCAGCCAGGTGTCAAAGACGGATGCTGGAGATTACCTGTGCAAGGCCAGCAATGCAAATGGCACTGACTTCTGCAAGTCTAAAGTCACCGTAAAAGGTAATCCATCTGTGGTTCCAGTTTTGTGTAATGAACACATCTTGTCTCTCCACTGCACGGTGGAAAAAGTATTTACTGCAGTGAAGCTAAACCAACATTACTACAAAACTTTGTTTTTGAAGTAGTTTTATGAGAAATGCAGTGTGTTTATTTCTTTCGGCTCAAGGGCGATCGTGGCTCAAGAGTTGGGAGTTCGCCTAGTAATCGGAAGGTTGCTGGTTCGACCCCCAGCTCGGACAGTCTCGGTCGTTACTACTGGTGTTGGCCAGAGGGGCCGATGGCGCAATATGGCAGCCTCACTTCTGTCAGTCTGCCCCAGGGCAGCTGTGGCTACAACTGTGTAAATGGGTGGATGACTGGGTCTGTAAAGCGCTTTGGGGTCCCTAGGGGGACTAGTAAAAAGCGCTATACAAATACAGGCCATTTACCATTTCTGCTGGTTATGTGTTTCACAACATTTAACTCACTTTCAAATCCTTTCAGATAAAGGTGCCAAGGCCCCACCCGCTGAGGCTGCTGCCCCGGCTGCAGCCGCCCCGGTCAAAAGGCTCGACAATCTGTTCTTCATCGAGGAACCCCAAAATGTTTCTGTCACAGAGAGTAAGCACAAGGAGCCATGGCTCTTTTTGCTTTCATTCATTATCTCTAAAGGTTTCCATTTTGAACTAACTTTGTGTACTTCTGATTTTGGCAGAGGGTACTGCAACCTTTATCGCCAAGATTGGAGGTGACCCAATCCCCAGTGTGAAGTGGATGAAGGGCAAATGGAGACAGATCACCCCCGGTGGTCGAATCTCCATTGAGCACAAGGGCCAGGATGCCAAACTGCAGATCAGAGAAGTGACCAAGTCTGATTCTGGTCATTACAGATGTGTTGCCACCAACAATCATGGAGAAATTGAGAGTGGCGCTGATATGGAGGTGACCAAAAAGGAGGAAATGGGAGAAATGGGAGACTTAAGAACGAGGCTCAAGAAGTAAGGCATTAAGATATGGTGGCAGTGTGAAATCCTTTTCTGTGCCACGACTCTTTTATCAAAGCCTAAAGGAAACAGAAGAGCAAACATCTGGGAGATATCTGCTTCAGAGAAAAATCTGATCATGTATTTTCTATTTTCAGGACTCCTTCCAAGCAGAAGAGTCCCAAGAAAGAAGAAGACGTCAACATTGTAGATCTGCTTAGAGGTCACGACCCCAAAGACTATGAGAGGATCCTGCGGGAACATGGAATCCATGACTACCGTGCCATCCTGCAGGCCGTGGAGTTCCTGAAGAAGGAGAAGGAGATGGAGACTGGAAGAGCGGTAAGACAGAAAGCATCAGCACAGATGACCGGACATCGTCCCACATAGTGCAGCTGTGTGAGCAAGCAGCAGAATTAATATCACGGTTCAGCTTCACAATCTGTTAGCAGGAAGGATGGAGACAAAAACTTTACCTCTAAATTCCACCAAATAAAGGGCCAAATGGCCCTCAAGTCTCTGGACTGGTAACACACTTCTGGGGTCTCCAACATTTTGGCTTAGCTGTGGAGCCGATAACATTTTACCAACTTTAGTCTGCAAAAACTCACTACCAGCAGCTTCTAGGTGTGAGTATTTGGTCCCATATTTAAACTAAAACCTACTTTGGGGCTTCTCCAAAAGTTGATTCTGTTCATCTGGACGTTTGCAGTGGGAGAAACGTTTCGTCATCATCCAGGTGACTTCTTCAGTCTCAACTGACTGCAGGTTTCAATCTTATAAACAGGGGCTTATACTTTGGGGCTTCTTAGTCTGAGTTGAGAGCAGCTGAACATATGCAGACAAATAAGGCAGAAAAACAGGCATTTTACATATACTTCTCCTTTCCAGAGAGGAATTTGGACATAGCGAACATGATCTCTCCATATTTTGCTACCAAGCCAACTTTATTTGTAAAGCGCTTTAAAACAGCAAGTGCTGACCAAAGAGCCGAGAACAGAATAATGCAAAGTTAAACAAATTAATAATAATAATAAAGCACGAATGAATACCATGGAAACATGGAAAATGTTCCCTGAAGCGACTCTCACAGACTCTGTCCTGCTGCAGGAGGTCGAGCATGGGGCACGAGTCGAAGAAGAGGACATGGCCCGACTCATCGAGCAGCTAGAGGGACGCGTCAGCATGGAGGTAAAAGCACCATCTAATTATGAGGCCATTAAAAAATAAACACATCGTGTTTCAGTATATAATGCTGAAAAACTTAATATGATTCCTGATAATCAATGATTTGACAATACACAACTTCAGACGTTGATGAAACGGGTTTTTCTTGCTCAGCCTGTCTCTGTGATGGAGGACATCACTGACCAAACCATCACGGAGAACCAGAGCGCCATCTTTGAGTGCCAGATTAAGATCAACTACCCGGAGATCACGCTCACCTGGTACAAAGGCACCCAGAAACTGGACAACAGCGAACAGTACGACATCAGCAGCGTGGGGGACCGCCATTATCTGAAAATCAAGAACTGCCAGGTCAAAGATCAGGGCAACTACCGCGTGGTGTGCGGTCCTCACATCTCCAACGCCAAACTGACGGTCACAGGTAAGAGTCAGAGTGTTTGATCCCGATGTCTGTCTCTGTGTGTCTGTAACACGTCCTCACGTCCAGCTCTTCCATTTTATTATCAGGAGCCGCTCGTAAGACAGGTAAGAAGGATGAGTCCGAACTAACACGACTCAGACTGACCTCTTTGAACCTGAAGGTTCTCCTCTACCTTGTGTGTTTGTTTCTGTGTCTTTTATACTGAAGCTGATTTTAGTCCAAAGAGGAGTCTTAACACTTAACTGTGACATCAGATCTTCACATTTAAAATGCATATTTCGGAGGCTCACTCTTATTGTCTGGTTCTAGTCGATCAAATTCAGTTCACTAAAAGCATCCGAAGCATCGAGGTCGACGAACGCCACTCTGCCTCCTTCGAGTGCGAGTTGTCCTTCGACAACGCTACCGTCACGTGGTACAAAGACTCGTGGGAGCTTAAAGAAAGCCCAAAATATAACTTCAGGACTGAAAGCCGACGGCACTTTATGACAATCCACAACGTAACTGCAGAGGACGAAGGTTTGTTACACAGCCAAGTAACTGTTTCCTCCGGAGACACTTTTCTAACAACTACACCAAAGTTTAGCTGTTTGAGTAGTATGCATCATCTTATAGATTAACGTCTGCTTTTAATGGTGCACAATAAAAGTATTAAAAAAGTCTTCTAATCATGTCATTGAATGCATTTAGCCGTTTTAGCTGAGACTTTTACCAACTCACACGACAAACAGCAGCTGAATATCTTTAAGCTAAAAAGATGTTACTGGGCGCTTGAAGGGGGCGTATTCTGCTGTTACTGAGTTTCATAGTAAACACAGTTCTTACTGTTTCTAGCACCTTTTGGTATTTTATCAGTTTTATTTATACAGCAGCACAACACAACAACAGTGACCTGAAGGCGCTTTATATTGTAAAGTAGACAGAAAAACCCAACAATCATATGAATGCTTTTAGGGAGAGGGGCAGTAAAAACATGAAAGATCTGAAATTATTTTTAAGCAGACAGAAGATAAACTAATGATAAAGTAAGAAATAATTGAGAATTTTTAGGAGGGGACTAGATCCCCTGTAAAATGATTTTTGGTACATGAAAAACTAATCGGACCAAAAGAAGACATGTCTGCTAACCTGGTAGCGTTCTGCCTCAGCTCAATGCAAAGATGTGAAATCTGAGTAAAGTTGCGGTCACGCCAGCATCGTTTAGTGGATCCTCTCTAATGAACCCCACTGCTCATCCACCCGCCGTCGTATTACAGCCGAGTCGCTGCCAGACTTCAGAGCAGCACATGCGCTTTTATTTAGCTTCTTAAACCTTGAGCTTTACTCGGTAATCAGTTTTTATTTTTTGAATGAACTGAACAGGATACCGTCAAATAGCAAAACTAGCCAGCGACCATATTTGTGTACCAGCAGCGGTGTAGCATATTGGACTTGTCCTTGTGCAGGATTAGCTCTGTGAAACAAACTTAACTTCACCTGGACATTACTGCAGTGCTGACGTTTAGAGAGGATTAGCTGGGCTCTCTGGTGTGACCGGCCTTTACCGCGATCTCTTCTGTAAGTGTTTGAGGGACAGTTTGGCCTGAAACGTGATGTTTCCCCATCAGGCGTGTACTCGGTGATTGCTCGTCTGGAGCCACTGGGAGAAGCTCGAAGCACAGCCGAGCTTTACCTGTCAGGCAAAGGTCTGTACGTTTTTTACACATTACTGACATCAGCGTGATGTCAGCAGCTACAATAACGCTTCTGTACTTTGTCCTTTCACAGAAATTGAGTTAGGGAGGGTTCCTCAGGGTGAGTATCTTAAAAAGTGCAGCAAATAAACGACAGTAAACCTGAACACGTCTTCACCTGCAAACTCAGACGCAGGTTCACGATTTTACAACAAGGTCGAGGTCGCACTGGTCATTTCACCGACACCATTTTCACAAGAATCACCGCTCATCTATTTGCGAGGCTCCTTGACGTCTCATTGGTTTGTGCTGTACAGCCGACCACTGCCAACAAGGCTTTCACTGTGACTGTGGGGTTTCAGTTCAACAAACATTATCCTGACTCACTGCATCATCTTACACGTCACTGTGATTTCAGTCATACCAAACAAGTGTTAAGTTTTACTGTCAGAACTTAAAAACAACAATAATAATAGTAATAATAATAATACTCAAAGTGTTTGTGGCTGAACCTTCAGATGTCCCCGACACAGCCGTTCGTGTGTCAGAGGCAGTGTCTATGCTCGTGTGCAGAGGTGAGTCTGGTTCAAACTGATCAGGATTTCAGTAACTCTGCTCGTTTCTCTCATTTACACGATTGTTTTCTGCCACAAGATTCCTCCGAGTTTGATCTTTTTGAAGAGAGAACAGAAGTGAGAGGTACAGCAGTCGTCACTGTCTAAGATCAGCTCTAACCGCCGTAATCTCTGCAGTTTGCGTGACGAAATGTGAAAGACGGGTTTTCTGCATTAAACTGTTTTCTTTAACCGTCATCACCCTCAAGTCCATCATCATAATCATAACCATCATCATCTTCATCACCTTCTTCCTCCTCCTTTAACCCTGAGTAACTGTGTGCTTGTTTTAAGCGTCATCTGTACACGACCCGTTATAATATCCCAAATATAATTCAGCTTCATTATCTGAGCTGTGCAGACGAGGGTCATGTCAGTCTCTAAGAATCACTCTTCAAATTAATCCTGATATGACGAGATTTAAAATTCAGCCAGAGATGTACAGTTCTTTTTATTTTATTGTAGTAAAGAATTACAAGTTTCTGACTATAATTATGATTTTTATCACGTTGTTTTCTGAATTACAAAAATGTCAACATTCCTGTTTTAAAATCTGATTTATTATATTCTCATTATGGTTTTTGTTGCCTCTCAGACTTTGCTGCTCAGATTTGAAAAATAAAAATGAGGTTTTCAATAAATAAACAGTAAGTCAGATTTTTTTAAAGCTAAACTTAAAATTGGATTATCTCACCTCAAATTTTGAAAGTCAGAACTTCAAACTTCAAATTCAGGATTGTGGAGTTTCATCTGAAATATTTAAAGGTTTCCTGACCTGATCGTCGTCTGCACAAACATAAACTGTTCACTGATCTGACGTCTAACGGTGAATATCTTTCCGTGGTCTGCTGTAGTGTTTCAAAGTCTGACACATGAAGAAGAGACGCTTTCGGTTCAGTACTCGTCCGTCTCAGGTATCAGCTTTAATCACTCTATGAAGTGTAATGACTGTTAACGTGCTGTGGACGTGTTTTTGTCTGAACTGCTCATCGGTGCGGCCCGCACCCGTCTTCCTGTTTCGCCTGTTATTGTGTTTCGTTTTGTTTTTAGCAGCTTTGGATACTCGACGACCTGCAGCAGCTTTCACATGTCAGTCGTTCTTTTTCTGAGTTTACATTTTTTTCCTCACCAGAAGAGAAAAAACCTGTAGAAGAAACTGTTGAGTGGACTGAGGTCGAGGGCAGAGGAGAAATCCCTGAAGGTATAACTGCAAATGTTGTGGCTGTTCATAAAGCTCAGAGCTGAAATATAATGAGGCGCTGCCAATCAGCTGACTGTTGTTTGTCTGCCCACTTAAATTCTACTTAAATGCTTCAAACACCAACTGCTGCTTACAGAAGCTGTTCTTCTTCTCAGGTGTTACTTCTATGATCCTGCATGTTACCTGTTTTTGTCATGTTTTGGTCTCATCTCTCTGCAGTTATTCTGTTCTTGCCTTCATGCTCTTATTAACCTTCACTGAAGCTTTCCATGCAGTAGATTTGGCAGAGTAGACGGTAGAGCTTGGCTGAAGTAGTTTTAATGTGACCTTTCTTGATCTTTCAAGTTCCTGAGATTTACAGGATGCCAGAGGAGAAACCCTCTGAGCCTGAAGCTCCGCCTCCACCTCTGGTCAAAGGTATCTACAAATGTCTGCTCTTTATATTCTTCTTCATGTGGTGTTTGTCTTGTTGGTATGTTACATCTTTTCTTTTTTATTTCCATTCTTAATTTTTTCCTAAAGAAATAATAATAAAGAAACCTTGATGTTCAGTTTAATGTGGTGAGAAACTGAAATGAATGATAATGTTTTAAAGTACCTGAAGCAAAGAAGCTACAGCCTGAAGCCCCTGCTCCACCTCAGAGAGAGAAACGTCCAGCTCCAGAAGGTAATGTTCATGATGCAGGGAGTCACTAAAAATGTCTTATTTTATGTGTTTGTGGGTCTTTATTGGCTCACGTTCTCAACTGTTTATGTAAATGATGCGAATTACAAATCTTTACCAGAAAGCATCGTACTTTTACACAAACTTCAGGAAATCTCATGGTATATTATATTGCATATTTACACTATATTTAAAACTTTAGTCAAGTTTTTGTAGCACAAACTCACCAACTTTAGCATGAATATGAAATTCAAACTATTCACGATTATGCTCTCAAGATCTTTCAGATTTAATGAATATTTTTTAGGCTTTTTTTGTCTCTTTAATTGTTGTCTGAAGTATTTTCTTGCTGTTCTTACAATGCGTAAATAGCATTGAGTTCTTGCTGTCAGGTTTTATGTGTCTCCTCTTTGCCCCAAGCTCTTACAACTCTGTGGTTCCCATGTTAAATGATGGTAATATTTCTCTGTTAACCTTGAAGAACCAGTAGTCTTCACCCAACCTGAACCTTACCGACCCAAACCAGCAACACCAAAACTGGTTCATTCAGAACCTGAAGTGGAACCCATGAAATTAGTGGTGCCTAAGCCTGAAGTGGAACCCGTGAAACCAGTGGTGCCTAAGCCTGAAGTGGCTCAAATTAAGCCTGAGCTCCAAGAACCAAAAGCTGTCCCCACTAAGAAAACGCCAGAGGCCTCAAAACCAAAAGGTAATATAATGAACACTTTGTTTTTCTGATGTTCAAATGGAAAGTCATTACATCCCAAGTTCTTCTAGTTTTGTTTCATGTTGCCGTGACCTAAGTGTGCACTTCTTAACATGTTCATATATGTCATGGATGTCCTTTGCTGCTAACCTCTTGATCTTTAAGCATTAACACTGTCTATAGTGTGGACCACACGTGGTGTTTGGAGTGTTTGAATATAGCCTTTAAAAAAGACATTGCTTTGGCGTATAAATAACAAATCTAACAAATTTTGATCATGAAAATAATTCTATGGTAAGTAAAAGAGTAAACCTTTAAACATATAAATGCTGTCCAAAGTGCCAGCTGTAGACAAACTAGCAGAAGCCACAATTCAACCAGTCTCTACAACGATTACTTAAACAAAGACTGACACTAACAGAACAAAACCCTGGCTCAGGGGGTTGGGAAGCTCATCTGTAACCGGAAAGTTGCAAGTTCGATTCCCCAGCTCTCTCTGTCCTGGTCGTTGTGTCCTTCGGCAAGACACTTCACCTACCGCCTACTAGTGTTGGCCAGAGGGGCCGATGGTGCGATATGGCAGCCTCGCTTCTGTCAGTCTGCCCCAGGGCAGCTGTGGCTACAACTGTGGTTTGCCTGCATCAGTGTGTGAATGTGAGAGTGAATGAATAGTGGAATTGTGCGCTTATAAATTATAAATTCAATGCATTATTAAAAGGTAATGAAGGGACATGTTTTTCATGTGTGACACTAACTCTCTTTACACAAACACGGCTCGGCTGTGTATTTAATGTACTGTGATTGTGTCTTTCTCTAAGCACTCGATAGAGTGTTGACGCCACCGTGGTTACCAGAAGGTTACTGAACATATACACTGTATGCATTTCTTTCAAAGTACCAGAACCACCAAAGTCAGAAGAACCTGTACTTCAACTAAGTGCAGTCCTTGCTTCTCCATCATTGGAACATCTTCCAACTGAAGGTATAGATTGTTAACCAAAGTCGTGTTGCTTCTTTTTCTCTAATATCATCTTTCCTACTTTGACTTCACTCATTAAGAATGTATCTTTGATTCCATATTAATCTTAATTGTTAGCTGTTGGATAAAAAATACACAATCTTCTCTTAAGTGCAAGAAACACCAAGACCAGAAGAACCTGTACCTCAACCATCTGCACCCAAAGTTACTCCACAAAAAGTTGAAGATATCCCAGTTAAAGGTACTACAAAGAGTTTGTTGATAGGCTGCTGTGTTGTGCCGGTTTCTCTTATACTTGTTAGTATAACTTTTGCTTTTCTGAAATATCTTACATGAATATCTTTCAGCATGCTAAGCACTCGTTAGAGTGTGACTACAGATTTTTGGTATTAGAAAAAAAATCTTAAATATTAAATAAATCTTCTTTTAAGTTGCTTTAGAATCAAAGATACACGAACCTCCAAGAAAACCATATCTGCTGGCTGATAAACATCAGCAGGAAGTAACTGAACCAAGGGACCTGGAAGCTCCAGAAAAAATCAAGGCTCCTGAGGTTCCTGAAGCACCAAAGAAGGTTCCTGAAGCACTAAAGGTTCCTGAAGCGGCAAAGAAGGCTACAGAGGAACCAAGGAAGCTTCCTGAAGAGCCAAAGAAGGTTCCTGAAGAATCAAAAAAGGTTCCTGAAGCAGCAAAGAAGGCTATAGAGGAACCAAAGAAGCTTCCTGAAGAGCCAAAGAAGGTTCCTGAAGAACCAAAAAAGGTTCCTGAAGCAGCAAAGAAGGCTACAGAGGAACCAAAGAAGGTTCCTGAAGAACCAAAGAAGGTTCCTGAAGCACCAAAGAAGGTTCCTGAAGCAACAAAGAAGGCTACCAAGGAACCAAAGAAACTTCCTGAAGAACCAAAGAAGGTTCATGAAGAACCAAAAAAGGTTCCTGAAGCAGCAAAGAAGGCTACAAAGGAACCAAAGAAGCTTCCTGAAGAACCAAAGAAGGTTCCTGAAGCACCTAAAAAGCCTCCCAAGGAACCAAAGAAGCTTCCTGAAGAACCAGTTCCAGAAACACTGAAGAAAGTTCCAGAAGTAGCAAAAACAGCTGTGGTAGAACCACAGAAAGATCCAACAGCACAGGTTATAGAACGATCAGCAGAGCCGGTGAAAGATCTAGAAGTGTCAGCAGAACCACAACATTTGGAAACACCAATACAACAACCGCAGGCCAAAAAGTCTGAAGGTAGATATGTCTGTCAATACCATTTGGTTGGTCTTATAAACACTTACTAGTAACTCATCTTGACCTATTAACACAATAAGTTGGCCTTGTTGAAATGCCGTAAGCTGTCTTCAAAGATTTTGTTATGATTTGTGTGTTGACTTGTATGTTCACTGTTTGTTACTTCATATCAGTCATCCAAACAGTCAAACAAAGGGGGATACCAACAGCTCTAGCTAAACCAAAGCTGGAGGCGAGTACACCAGTCAAAGGTATGCTTTGACTTTGAAAGGTTCCCCGTGGATATTCAGCATTTTTATGAATTCCTTAGAACATGACTAGATACGTTTGCTTCTATAATCAGATGAGATCGTTGCTTCTGGAAAAGTAGAAGACGAGCCAAAGGCCATAGAAATCCCTCAGCAGAGAGGTAGAAATTCATAATACTTATAAAATAGTTATAAAATAAGGGTTGTAGTTGAATATGTACCACACTAAAGTTTGTATTTTTGTGTCTTGGTGGTGTGTATGTGTTGTGTTTTCTTCTTGGCCACCGCTCCATGGTGCATTTCTTCAATCTTGGGTAATATCTTAAAATTTATCCCAGTTCCTCTGAAGACTCATCTGAAGCCAACAGCTGAGGTTGAAGGCAGAAAGGAGTGTCCTGCAGAAAAAGGTGTTGAAGAAAGGATTTCCCTCACAGAAGCTGGCTACAGGAAACAGGAAGTCGACACATGTGAAGAAGGAGTCAACGAGTCAACTGCAAGAGAAGAAACCATTTTGAAAACTGAGATAATGGAACAAATTGAAAAGACAAAGGCGGTGGTTTCTGTATCATACAGAGAAGATCGTCAGGTAGAGATTATAGAGCAATCAAAAACAGATTATGAGGCTGAACAACTGGAGTGGACTGGACCTTACAAACCTGAGAAAATAGAGAAAGAAATGTCTCTGTGGTCTGCTTCTCCAACTCTAAAGGGGTCTGCCCATTCTCCTGCAGAACAAGATGTCGCACCTCCACCTGAAATATCTCATCTTTTGCAGAAAAAGGTTTCTTCTCCTGATGTTGGTGTTACATCAGAAAAAGAGGCTTACAAGAAGAAAGAGCAGGCCAAAGAGGCTGACCTTCCTACTGCATATTTACAGACAAGAGTTACTAAATCATTATATCATGAAGAAATTCAAGACTCTGCAATAGAGGAACTTAAGTCTAAAAAGGTCACCACATCAAAGAAGCCCAGAGCTCTTACAGAAGTAATTTGTTTGAAGCAAGATGGGTCTGTTGAAGGTAAAGCAGATGTCCCCCAAACCACTCTTTCTCACCCTGCAGCAGTTTCTCCTACAATGGTATCGTCAAGTCAAGACATGGTGAAAACTCCTAAAACTTCCATAAATGTATGTGATGAAGATATTCTACCTCTGGACAAGCCAAGTCTTCTATCGGAAGATGCATCGATTAAACAAAGTAGGGATGGATCACGTTTTGTTACAGATCAGATTCCTTCACCCGAGGAGAGACGCTGTTCGGAGGAAGACATTTCTCCAGCAAAGAAGTCTGTTCTGCCAACCAAACACAGCTCCCCTACTCTCTCTGAGGCAGTTTTTGGCCTAATAGAAGATCTGTCCCTTGAAGAAGACACTCCTGTCAAGAAACCTATTCCTTCTGTGCCTGCTCCAGTAAAAACATCTCAAGTTCAGCAAATCTCTCCATCTTTGAGAGTTTCTGAGGAAGCAAACAACTCTGCAACTAAAGCTACACCAACAAGAGCAGATGACAAGAAAGCAAAGAAGCCAACACAGAAGACTGACCAACAGGCTCTTGATACAGGTATTTGAGCCACACAGGCTCACGATCGCCACGATCGCCTCTCTTAAACTTTACTTTCACTAATGTCTTGTACTCATCGTGGTTAACAAGAAAACCTCAGTCTATATTAAACTGATCTTTTTAATGGCGATTTGAGGCAGTCTTGGTCTGTTAACCTCTTTTACTGCTGGGATTTTGTTTTCATTCATCATCTTCATTCTTCAGCTTTCATCCACATCTTTATCTCTGTCGCTGTTTCAGCCTGTTTATGATGTTTGCAGAAATGTGCCTGAAATATCTGTGTCTAGTCTTGGCTGACTGTGCTGCTGTCTCGGTTGTGACCTTGACATCTTGTATTCCTAAAGTGCCTCCTCCTGAGGAGAAGAAAACATCTCTACCAGCACCAAAGCCTTCACCTACTCCTCCTCGTGAGCAGAAGGAGGCTCCCCCTGCAGGTAGCCTGTTCAGTTTGTTCCTCATCTTTGCTGAATCTTAATGGGCCAAACTTTTTCTAACCTTCACCTCTATTTGTTTGTCCTTTCTGTCTAAGTCATCTTCAGATTTCCATGTTTATTTTTTGTTTTATGTACTTACTGTGTGTCAGTTTGTCGTGACCTTGGCATCTTGTATTCTTAAAGTATCTCCCCGAGAGGAGAAGAAACCATCTGCACCAGCACCAAAGCCTTCACCTCCTGCTCCCCCTGCTCCTGTACAGAAAGTTGCTCCTCCTGCAGGTAGTTTCTTCGCTCACTTTTGTTATTGTTGTAAATGTTGTCTTTTTGTTTGGTTTCATTTGGTGGGTGACAATCGCCTCATGTTTGCTTTAACTTCACTGGCTGACTGCTGTTAGTCCTCTCTGGTGTCTCTATTGACCATATGGCAATCTTGGTCATGATCTTGGCATCTTCTATTATTATTTCCTTCAGAGGAAAAGAAACCATCTGCTCCAGCTCCAAAGCCTTCGGCTCCTGCTGCTCCTGCAGCCAAAGTTGCTCCTCCTGCAGGTACTTCTGTTATACCTCTGTTTGTTATTATAAAAATTCTCCATGTTGTCTTATTCTGTTTCTGTTTGAGTTATTTTGCTGTTATCTTTGTTGCCCATGTAAACTTTTCTTCCATCTTAACATCTTTATATTGTTCTCTGTCTGTTCCAATTTGTTGGTACTTTCCCGTTTTCTCTCTTGGTCGTAACCGTTGATATTTTGTACTTCTAAGTGTCTCCTCCTGAGGAAAAGAAGGTACCTCCACCAACAACCAAGCCAACAGCAGAGAGAGTTCCCCCCGCAGGTAGTTTCTACTGTTTATCATTAATCTTACTGACTGTTCTGTTTGTCCTGCCTTTGAGAAATCTGTTGGGTCTTAACAACAGTGAATTCTGTAGTTTTATACGTTTCGTTCATCTGTTTGTCAGTTGGTTGTTGCTTGTTGACCGGATCTTTGCCAGTGATTTAATCATGTTGGCATTCTTGTAGCTGAAGTTGCATCATTGGAGAAGGAAGCTCCTGCACCAGCCAGGAAAATCTCGCCGCCTGAAGGTAACATCTGTTCTTTCATGTATGCTCCTCTCTTATGTTTGTCTTCTACTTTGAAGCATTTTTAATGGCACAGCTTCAATCTTCATACCAAACATATTTACCTTTTCTTTTAAAATGTGTTGCCTGTTTACATCTGTTGGTCTGTTTCTATACACAACAATCCACTTCCACACTTTGATCCAATTCACTTCTTTAATATTAACACAATTTGCTGAATGAAACCAAATAACCTTTTAAAGGATGTTTAAACATCTGGGTGCATCATAAACAGCTGATGAACTTCCTGCTTCTTCTTAAAGCTCACTGTCTCTGTTTCTGCAAAGTATTCTGCTGAAAGTTCAAAACAGTAAAACAACCCCGAAAACAGCTGCATGCCTCAAACAAATGAACCATCTTTGGCTTTGACTGAGCCTTTTGTCTAACTCTGTTTGCATTGTTTGTACTTATAATGATTTTATATAATTTTTGCAGACAAGGAACCAGTGTCAGCACCTGGACCAACAAAAGGTATGCAAATTATTAACCTTTTTATTTCAAAGAAACAAAGCACAACCTGCTTCAAGTTTTTGTAGCCTTTTAGGACATTTTTGTTTCATCTACATGTGTAAGTGTGATTCTGTTCTATACTGTAGAAAATATTTTATTATTTTCTGTGTTATTATGGTGATATTATAAAAGGTGCATTTGCTGCCCAAACCACAGTGCCGTCTCTTAAGCAAAAGGGTAAGATTCCTGTTCAGGAGGCAAAAACACCCGAATCACCTAAGCTGAAGAGTAAGTTCACCAGAATACCGAAAGAGAAAGAACCAGAACCAGAGGTCATTAAGCTGAAGAAGGTTCCAGTGAAACCTCCAGAGCCAGAGAAACAAGTCGTAACTCATAAGGCAGAAGTGACGAGGCATCACGATCCAGAGCTAGCAGTTCATGGGCTTCATGACAGAGACGATCGAGAGATAATCACACTTGGTAGAACTGAACGAGTATTCACTGCAGATGAGGAAACTATTGAGTTAAGCCATTTTGAGGAAATGGAAAGCCTTACAGTTGTGCAAAAACCAGAACCTGGCAAATGGACAAGAACCTTAAAACCTCAGAAAGACGAGGCACCGGAGGAGCCGCACGTCGCAAAGAAGAAAATAACTAAATTGCCAAAAGCAGATGAGCAAAACGAATCAGTGAAACTAAAACCATTTGAAACATTTGGGAAACAAGATGCTGAATTACAAGCAATCAAACTAAAAAAGGTGCCACCTAAACCAAAGGAGCCTGAAAAGGAAGTCATAACTCATAAAGTTGAAGTGACAAGGCATTATGATGCAGAATTAACAGTCCAGAAACTTCGTGACAGAGAGGATCGAGAGTTAGTAACAGTTGAGAGAAAGGAACGAGTTTTCACAGCAGCTGAAGAGACATCTGAACTCAGCTTTGCAGAGGAACCTGAAAAACTGGAGGCAGAAGATGAGAAATCAAGATGGGTAAGAGCCCCAAAAGCACCAAAAGAAGATGAACCTGAGTCAGATTTAAATAAAAAGAAAATAAAAAAATTACCAAAGAAGGACGAGGACCAGGAAGTAGTTACACTGAAGCCATTTCAGAAACCTCAAAAACAAGAAGCAGCTGAACCTCCAAAGGCTGAGACAGAAGCTGAGGCAAAAACAGATACTGAGCGGAGTCCTTACATGAGAGGTGAGCTGCCACAAAGAGATCAACCTGCCGCTGCTATAAAACACCAGAAAGATGATGATGATGCTCCACTGATGAATGACAACGCATCTCCACATATCAACAAAGACCAAAAGGAAATCCCACATAAGAAAAAGGTTGATCAAGTACCCAAAGATGTAGAAACTACAGCGGCCGAAAAGCTCCGCAGAAAACCTAAAATTATTTCTACACCTGATAAAGAGAAAGAGCAGGTTGTGTTGAAACCATTCACTAAAATCACCAAGCCTGAAGAAAAGCCAGAAAAAGCATCAGAAGAGAAGAAGAAGCCTTTGGACACAAAGGTACCCAGTCAAGCAACTAAAGAGCCGAAGGATCAACTTAAGAAAGCTGAAAAGACTGTAACGCCTAAAAAAGACAACAAAACACCTCAGGAGAAGGAGAAACCAGCTGAGAAGCCCAGTCCTCCAGGTCAGAAAGAAGAAGAGAGACCGAGTCCTCAAAAACAAACCGATATCCTGAAGAAAAGTCCAGAAATCAAAAAGACTCCTTCACCCAAAGCCAAGATAAGTAAAGATACGCCTGAAGAGGAAAAGCCCCTCAAACCTATTGAGCAGCTGAAGAAGGTTGAACTAAAAAAGACCCCATCACCCAAGATAGAGAAAATAAAGCCAAATGAAGTGGAGCAAATTCCCATCGAGAAGAAGCCAAGTGGTGAAAAAGTCAAAAGGATTCCCAAGACTGTTTCGCCAAAAGACTCCACTGAATCTGTGACCCTCAAAAAGGTGCCCAAGAAGCCCTCACCAGAGGGGCCCTCAGAACCCGAAAGGCCTGTTAAAGGGCGGATCCCTCTGGTGAAGGAGATCTCTCCTGGAGCTGTGGAGATGAAGCGGGTGACAACCCAGCCAGAGGAGGAGGTATGTGAAGAGGAGGGTGAAAAAATGGTAGCCGACGAAGATGAGGAGGTCTGGGACTGGGAGCTGGTTCCACCGGAAGACTGGGAAGGTGAAGGGGTGGATGGGGCGCTGGAGACTCCAGGCATGCCCGGCGCCAAGAGAGGTGAGGTGAAGGCCGGTGAACTCGTCCAGCTGATGACTCTGGAATCGCCTCATCCCATTTCAGACGATTCATCTAATCATCTAATCTACATCCAATTTTACGTTTTTAATCACATTATATATTTGTTCATCTGTTTGTCTGTCTGCTCATTGTCCATCCATCCTTTGTGATGTTTTTAAGTGGTCATCATCTTAAATCTGTCATCAGTTGTGTCATCAGTCATTCGATGCTCATCTTCATCACTGTTTTTATTATTCACTGCAACAGTTTTTCAGTTTCCATCTCACCTTCATCCTCGTCACTGAACATTTTTTTTACATATGTGTAATTTGATGTTCAGCTGTGATCTGGATACGATCTTGAATCTTGGCTGTTAGTTTTGTTAACATCTTTATCTTGGTTTGTGTTGGAGACTAGGATGAGCTGTGAAGCTTAAAACGTGTCCTACTCTTTCTTGTCCAGATGGAAAACCAACAGAAGAGCCGGCGAAAGGCCGAGGTCGAGGATTTGGGGGTGAGAGCTCACTAACATTAGATCTCATCAGCACAAACCATTCGGCACTTTCATTTGCTTCATACACACTTGTAAAGCTAAAGTTGGTTTTTTTGTGTGTGTCTTTCGAACAAAACCAAAAATATATTTTATGTTACAATTTTAATTTTGAGTTCAAAGCTCATTTCTGACTGACAGCTGTGTCTGTGTGTCGTCGTGAGCATAAATCTAAAGCTTTTTTGTCCTGTGGGATTCGTTGTTTGTGTCGAATATGTTTATTCTGCATCGGTTTTAGGCAGAATCTTATTTTTTGTGCTTACCATCATGTTGTTGGTCTCAAAGGTACGGTTTTATCTTGGTTTAAATCCTATCTCTCAGAGAGGTCGTTCTCTGCTGCTATGGGGCAACACTCCTCGGCTTCTGCCTCTATTTACTGTGGTGTGCCTCAAGGGTCCGTGCTCGGTCCTGCTCTTTTCTCTTTGTACATGTTGCCGTTGGGATTAATTTTTAGAAAATACAACATCTCCTTTCACTGTTATGCCGATGATATCCAGATTTATACACCTTTGAAATCCGATGTGACTGCTTCTTTGCAACCTCTGTTCAACTGTTTGCATGAAGTTAAAATTTGGTTATCACATAATTTTCTTACATTGAACGAGAATAAGACCGAAATCATAGTCTTTGGTAGTCACACTCCGCTAGACCAGTTAGCTGATGCCCTAGGCCCTCTCGCTAGCCATCTCTCGCCCACTGTAAGGAACCTCTGAGTGTTCCTGGATGGCTCTTTTAATCTTCAGAAACAGGTCTCCACTGTGGTAAAAAACAGCTTTTACCAGTTGCGTCAGATTTCCAAAGCAAAGCCGTTCCTTCCTTTAAAGGACCTTGAAAAGCTTATCCACGCATTTATCACATCCAGACTGGACTACTGTAACTGCCTCTACTCGGGCCTCCAACACTCCTCTTTGCCGTCTTCAGTTAATTCAGAATGCAGCTGCGCGTCTTTTAACAGGTACGAGAATCCATGAACGCATAACTCCAATTTTAGCCAAACTACACTGGCTTCCTGTTAAATATCGCATAGATTTTAAGATTCTTTTGTTTTAAAATTCTGAATAATTTAGCGCCCAGCTATCTTTCTGAACTCCTCCACTCATACAATCCCAACAGAGCACTTAGATTGTCCAATCACAGGCTCCTAGCACAACCTGGGTCTCGAATAAAGTCGAGAGGTGACCGGGCCGTTGCATCCGTGGCACCCAGACTCTGGAATAACCTCCCTGTTCATATTCGTACTGCCGAGTCGATCCAGTCTTTTAAATCACGTCTTAAAACTTATTTTTTTACTTTGGCTTTTGATTCTGTCTAGTTGGCTGGTCTAGCTTGTTGTGTTGTTACCTATTGTTTGTAGTCCTCTTTTATTGTTTGTTTTAACTGTCTCTTGCTTTTACTGACTGTGAAGCACTATGTTCAACACTGTTGTTTTAATATGTGCTATATAAATAAATTTTGATTTGATTTGATTTGATTTATTATTAAAGACGTTTAAGTCACAGTAGGTAGCTCACAGTTTCAAAGTAAGCTGCTGTCTAATTCGTCACTTGCCCCAACATCTAAATCAACAAGAGGAGTTTTTGTGTCTGATGTTGCAGCGAGACAAACTCCATCTCCTGGTGATGGAGGCAGGGGCCGGGGTCTAAAGCCAGGTGGAAAAGGCCCATCACCTCCCGAGGATCCATTTGGAGGATTCAAGCTCAAACCTGTCCAGCTGAAGTTCATTAAGAAGCTTAAGGACATTGTGCTGCAGGAAGCTGAGTCCATCGGCTCCTCCGCGGTGTTTGAGTGCGAGGTCTCACCTTCCACAGCCATCACTGGATGGATGAAAGATGACAGCAACTTGCGTGAGAGCCCCAAGCACAAGTTTACATCTGATGGCAAAGATCGCAAGTTGCACATTATTGATGTGCAGCTATCCGACACTGGAGAATACACGTGTGTGGCTAAGAATGCGGGCAAGGAAATAACATGCACAGCCAAGTTAATTGTTGAAGGTAAACGATTGTTTTAATCCAACATCAATTTTTAAAAACTTATTTGACATTCATGAAAACACTTTTAATCCCCTTTTTCCCACAGAGCTGCCTGTGAAATGGTTGAAGGAACTGGAACCAGAGACAACATGCATTAAGGGTCAGCCAATGTACCTCACCTGTGAGCTGAACAAAGAACGGGACGTCATTTGGAAACGTAACGGTCAGCTTCTGAAAACAAAGGCCGGAAAAGTGGCCATTAATGTAATTGGCATGCAGCATGCTGTGACCATCCAGAACTCCACCGATGAAGATGGCGGCGCCTACACCTGTGAGGTAGATGGACAGGAGGACGTCAAGACTACAACTAACGTCAAAATTATTGGTAAGAAGTCTGCAGAGCATGGTAGCAATGAAACAAGATAAATACAGTCATTGTACCGTCCATCATTCAGGGTGAGTCAACCTACAAGCTGGATTGGTCCCAGGCTGAAACTGTCCCCCAACAGTTAAAAAACAATATGAAGGGCAGCTACCATGAACAGTAGAGCTTGTATTTATGCACCATTTAAGCCCTAAGTTGATCACTGTTTGAGTTGCCTTATGCTGCACCAGAGAAAACAGACCATGGCACAACCAAAATTACTGTGACGGTGTGCAGTCTCATTGTTCTGGCAAAGAACCCCTCGCCATCTTTAATCTGACCTTGATGCATCAAGATGGCAATAAAGCTGCAATAGAACGGTGTCAGTCTGCACACTCACGCTCTCTTGCAGCCAATCTACCAATCCAGTCAACCAAAGATTTTCCCTAGTTACACAGAAGTTGTTGTCATATTTCTTTAGTGTGACTGAGGCATAAGAGTGTGTCTTGTTGAGCAGTTTTCCACTGTAGGAACAAATATAATGTGAACCCTTCCTCCTCAGAAATGATCAAAGACTGGCTGGTGAAGCCTCTGAGAGACCAGCATGTGAAACCAAAGGCAAAGGCCTCCTTCAAGTGTGAGCTGTTCAAGGACACGCCCAACTGGAAGTGGTTCAAAGGAGAAAACGAGCTTCCTCCCTCTGACAAGGTCGAGATCACTAAAGATGGAAAGGACATGACGCTCAGCATCAATAACTGCCAGCCTGATGATGTATCAGACTACACCATCCAGGTGGAGGATCGCAGATATACAGCCAAACTGACACTTGGAGGTTGGTGTATCCACGTTGGGAAAGCACGAGGACCACGCTTTTCCAATCGCAAAGATTTCTAACTTTAAATTTCTTTGGGTGCTTTCAGAGCGTGAGGCTGAGATCCTGAAGCCACTCTCCAGTGTGGAGGTGGTTGAGAAGGAAGAGGCCAACTTTGACTCTGAGATATCAGAGGACGATGTGGTTGGTGAATGGAAGCTGAAAGGCCAGGTGTTGACTAGATCTCCGGTAAGATATTTAACAATGCTTTGTCTCAGAGTAAATTATTGGAGATAAATATATGAGTTTCAGGAGCGGGACCACGCCTCCAAACATGCTCCGTCCAGTTCTCATCTATATAGGTTCCCCCAGGTCACCAAGCTGTTCCTTCTCGTTTACGTGCCCCACCCTCCCTCCGCTTTTCAAGTCTTCACTTCTATTTACTACACGGGGATCTGCCAGGAGCCGTCGCCCCTTTGAGGCCTTCCCCAAACCGCAGCTCAGTTCATGTCCAAGCGTCACCTTTACCAACTAATGTGCTGTCAAACCTAAAATGAGGACGTGGGCCCAGCTAGTGAGATAGCAGCTAAACGTGGGCTCGTCGCAGGACTCAGGCCACTCGAAACCACAAATGAGAAGATCATATACTTCTGTGCTGTAGTAAATTTAGTAGCCTACATGATTTGGGTTTATAGAAATGTGAATAGGGACGTAGCACTCATGCCTCTTTGTTTTGCAGACCTGTGACATTAAAGCTGAAGGCAAAAAACGTTTCCTCACACTGAAAAACGTGCAGCTGGATCAGGCTGGTGAAGTGACATACCAGGCTCTGAACGCCGTCACCAGCGCTATGCTCACCGTCAAAGGTACGGATTTACCAAAGACAAAACTTCATCTGTTGCAACCTGCTGCATTTTGTTGGTCATGGAAAACTGATGTGTTGCAGAGCAAACACGGTAAGAGAAGCTGTGGTTGTGTCTTTGTTTCTGTTATTAATTGCCAAATCGCTCGCACCTCTCAGAAATCGAAATGGGCTTTGTTGACCCGCTCAAGGACCTTTCTGTGCCTGAAAAGAAGCAGGCTAAGTTTGAGTGCACCATCACTAAGGACGTGTCAAAGGTCATATGGTTCAGGGGGACAGAGATTGTCACTCCAAGCCCTAAATATGAAATAATTGATGACGGAAAGAAGCACATGCTGATCATAAACAGCTGTGAGTTTGATGATGAGGCTCAGTACACGATCGAAGCGTTGGGTCAGAAATCAACGGCTCAGCTGATGGTGGAGGGTAAGTGGCAAAGAGAAGCGCCACGCTTCATGTTGTTCATGTTTCCTCTGTGAGCTCATTCAGTGGCCAATGTCTGTCTGCGCTGACTCGATGTATTCCAGGCATGAGGCTGAGTTTTGTGCAGCCGCTTCAGGACCAAACGGTCAAAGAAGGTAACACGGCACGCTTTGATCTCGAGCTGTCTCATGAGAACGTGCCAGTGGTCTGGTACCGAAACGAAGTCAAAATCCACGTGAGCCGAACGGTTCTCATTCACGTGGAAGGAAAGAGACACACTCTAGAAATGAGGACACTGAATCTAGATGATACCTGCCAAATTAAGGCAGAGGCTAAAGGCGTTTACTCCATGGCCAAACTGACGGTCGTAGGTAACTGCGCTCCCTCGTTTCCTTTTCACTTCTGTTTCACAGTAGCGGGACTTACATGACTCACTTTTTGCATTTTCATATTGTATACTGCATTACAAGACTGCTCTTCACAGAGAAAAATTATGAAAATCTACAAATTATTTGTATTAAACCAAAACTTCCTGTCTGCCCCAGAGGGTGACCCCATCTTTGTGGTGAAGCTACAGGATTACTCAGCCACCGAGAAAGAAGAGGTGACCCTGGACTGTGAACTCAGCAAAGACGTTCCGGTGCTTTGGTACCACGAAGAGAAGGAAATCATCGCCTCCAAGATGGTCATCATGAGGTCAGAGGGCACGCGCAGGTCTCTGGTCCTGAAGAAAGTGGAACTGAGCGACAAAGGCAAATATGTATGTGACTGTGGAACAGACAAGACGTCAGCCAACATCAATATTGAAGGTAAGCTCGGTGACATGATTGCCTAAATTCTTTTAAACATAAAAATCAGTCAAATCATAAATTAAGGTTACAGCCGCTGTAAGATTTACAGGTTGCTGGGTCAAAATAAACCCGTAAAACGTTAAATGTTCAAGCCTTTCACTGCACAAGGAAACATGACTCCAAAGGGAGGTCCAGGCCTCGTCAGCCTAGTCAACCCCGTAGCAACCTCACGTCTCTAGGAAGAAATGCACATCTCCACACCGGTCTGGGAATGACACATTGATGCCTGCAGTTCACATCAAAGACAGCAGCTTCTCTGCAAATACTCACTGAGCAGCAGTAGAACCTCAAAAAGATGCAAAGAGCATTTAAAAGTTGTGCCTCACTGCTGGCAACCATGGCAACGTGACCCAAAATCACTCGGCAACCAGAATCCACATTTTCCCCTAGCGACTAACCGAGGCCGCCGAGGCTGTCTATGAGGACAGACTGATGGATTTACTTTCTTTAAATCAAAATTTAAAAAGAACTTTGGAATAAAATGAGAAATCCGAGGGAACAAACTGAAACTGATAGTTTCCAGTTCTTCCATTTTTTGTTGTTTAGCTGTAAAAGTCCTTTCTTCCAGAAGCAAAACAAACTGCATTTTCATATCATGACCCTTTTTCCCAAAAGCACGCGACATCAAAGTTGTTCGGCCGATTTATGGCGTGGAGTTGTTTGATGGAGAAACGGCTCGTTTCGAAGTGGAGATCTCTGAGGACGACGTCCACGGACAGTGGAAGCTGAATGGAGCGGTGCTCAGTCCGTCCTCTGTGAGTGCTTTGCTTCATCACCAGCGCCTCATTGGCAGCGCTCTCCATAACATGAAGCCAGTTTATCAGTGACCGTTTACGTCTTTGTTTAACAGGATGTGGACATCATCGAGGAAGGAGGCAAGCACACGCTGATCCTCTACAACTGCAAAGTGTCCATGACCGGCGAGGTGGCGTACTCTGCTGCTAACGCCAAGTGCTCCGCTAACCTCAAGGTCAAAGGTAAACCAACCCACTGACCTCATCACATTTCATAAAAAACATTTTAAATCATTGTAACCTAAAAATGTGAAACTAAAAATGAGAGCGTCTCATAGAATAAGCCAGCGGGAGATCACAGCAGCTCAATCAAACCTCCATCTGAGCTTCACCTTCTCAGGTCTGATTTCTCATCAGACTTCATCTCCACTGAACAAAGACACCATATATAAAAACGTCAATACTTTTTACTCTGTGTTGGTTACTGTCACAGTTTGGGGCTCGTTATGACGAGAGGAATCCTCAAAAATGAACTATACTGATAATTACTTATGATTATCTAAATTCAACTAAGAGGCTAAGTTTTTGCAAATATACAATAAATGCCAGTTTTCTCACTGTTTTTCTTCAGAGCTCCCGCTGAACTTCCTCACACCCATGACTGATGTTCAGGTCTATGAGAAGGATGATGTGAGGTTTGAGGTTGAGGTGTCGAGAACTCCAAAGACTTTCCGTTGGCTCAAAGGCTCACAGGAGCTGCAGAGCGATGAAAAGTACGAGGTGATCCAGGAGGGAAATTTGTATGTTCTGGTGATCCGATCGGCCGCCTATGATGACGAGGCAAAGTACATGTTTGAGGCCGAGGACAAGAGGACGACGGGCAAACTGGTTATACAAGGTAACGTCATGGTTTTATTCATTTTTTTTAAAACTCCTTTGGCACCAGTGAAACTTTCACAGAGTCAGGGCATATTATAATCATATGTTCACATTTAGATCAAATTATTATAGTTTTAAATTTGCCAAATAAACACTTCTGTCCAAACCTCTTTGATGAATCTTCTCCAGATGAATTCAGTTTGGCAGATTTTTACCTCTGCTTCGTCTTCTGGTTCGGTTCACTTTGAACTAGAGATGGCACGATACCACTTTTTCATGTCCGATACCGATATCATAAATGTGGATATCGGCTGATACCAATATGAATCCGATATAGTGTGTTTTTTAATTAATAAAACAGTTTTTTAATATCTTGCTGCTTTTTGTATAAGTTCATACTCAAGTTTAAATAAATAACAACACTAAAGCTATTCTGTTACACCTGTATGTAAAAAATACATAATATTTCATAGTTCAGCAAAACTGATCAATTTAATAAACTTAAACTTACTCCATCCTCCCTATTCTGGTATTTTAAAGAGTAGAGCAACCTAACTAATAGGGCTCTAAAACAAGCAAAACACAGCAAAAAAAATAAAAAATAGGGAACCACCCACCCTCCACCTCATGATGCTTAATCGACGTAATCAACTTTAACTTGATGCAGTGTGAAAAAAAGGCACAGAAATAAATAATTTTTCAAGAATAATTAAATAGATTCAACATCTTTCTTCAACAGAATTGCAGACTGCACAGATGGTACCTTCCCAAAGGAAAAAGTACTA